CTCTCTCTCACTCACTCACACACACACACACACATCTCCCGGCCTGGTGTGGTTTTGTTTCTCTCCAGATCTCAGGGGAGGGTGTCCAAGCCGCCGACACTTGCCCTCTCGCTCAGCCCAGGGGATAACAGGCTGGTCCTGCTTGTCCCCCCACCTTCTTGTTGCTGAAGAACAACAGCTTTCAGAACTTTATTTTCAGACTTCCAGAATTTCAGGACTGGACAAAACATTTAAAGGTCCCTAGGCTGGGTTGGTTACATCTTTACAACATCCCTACCCAGCAGGCATTCAGCCTGGGTCTGAACACCTCTCTCGATGGGGAACTCATCACCCCACCCCTGAAGCCCCATTCTGGGACATCTTTGTTGTTGATGATCCCAGTAGCCATAATTTGCCCAGCACTTAGTATGTGCCTGCACTGGGCTAAGCACCTTTAAATACATGATCTCATTTATTCCTCATGATGATTCTGTGAAGTATTATCTTCATTTTGTTGGTGAAGAAATGAAGACTCTGAGAAGTTATTTGTGCAAGTTCACACAAATAGTATGAATAAGGGTTCAAATCCAGGACTATCTGGCCTGAAGTTCATGATTCTAACTAAATTTATTATACAGCTTCCCTGACAGATGTTCATGATCATAACTAAATTAAATTTACAGCTTCCTTGAGGAAAAAACGTCTTTTTCCTTGTGCTGAGCTGCAACTTTTCCCCAGTGTCCTTCCTTTCCCTAGGGGGAATCATACAAATTATGAATAAAGCGACTGTCACTTTGATATTTTCCTACAAAGATTGCCAGTTTCTCCCCTTATTTTTCACTTGACATTGTACTATATTCCCTCACCATGATGCTTTCCAAATCTTGTTTGTCACTATCCTTTAAAAATTTTTTTCTAAAAAACAATACATGCACATGGAACAAATCAGGCATTACAAAAGGGCATATATGTGTATGTGTATTTATCTACATATCTATTGAGAGAAAATGTTTGTTAGAGGGAGCCTTTTACAAAATATATCAATGGTAATATAAAATATTTTGACGATACATGTAGAGCTGCTTCATTATTTTTAACAGCTGTATAATATTCTACTGTACAGCTGAACCATAATTTATCTCTTATGTATGGACATACCTTATTTCTAACTTTTTGGCTGCTACAAGTAATGTTGCATGGAATATCCTTGTATATATGGCTTTGTAAACACATGCACATATCAGTTGGATAAACTAAAAGTATTGCTTTTAAAGTATTGCCTAAATGCCCTCCTAAAGATTGTCCCTATTCAGATGCCTAGTGATAAATTTTTAATTGCCTA